GCTCCCCTCGAGCTCGCACCGCGGGAGCAGCCTCGGGTGCCGGAGCCCGGGCGGCCTGTCAGCTGTCAGTGAGCTTCACTGTCCCGAGCTTTTAATTTAAAGGAAAAAAAAAAAAGCTTGTTTTCAATAAAAAAACAATTGAGGCAGCGCTTCAGCGACTCTCCGGCTCCTGGCTTCGCGCTCGGCGGGCGGCGGGGGACGGGCCGGCGCGGCCCGCACATGCAGGTGCCGTCCCGGCCCAGAAGAGCCTCCGCCGGCCGTGCCCGCCGTGCCTGAGGTGACCGCTGGCCGTTTCTTCCTCGGGTCAGGGGAATGTGGACGTTTGTTTTGCTGTTAAGGTTGCCCGTGTCCTGCTGGCAGGGAGCGCTGTGCCTCGGGTCCTCCGGGAGCGGCGTGTGTGTGTGTGTGTGTGTGTGTGTGTGTGTGTGTGTGTGTGTGTGTGTGTGTGTGTGTGTGTGGCTTCCAGGGGCGCCTCCAGGCTGCGGTTCCTGGAAGAGATGAAATACCACCCCGCCGCACCCAGCTCCCTGCCGCTCTGGGTGCTGGTTCCCGGGGATCAGTCATTTCCCCAAAATAATCACCTCATGTCCACAGTTTGATCACCAAAATGTAAAGTGAACTCAAGCCAAGTGGCTGCAGGGATCCTACCCGGCCCCTCCAAAGCTGACCTTGGAGCAGGGCCTCAGGTAGGATTCCCTTTAAGGAACCCGGGGTGTAATTTCAGCATGGTGGGGACCCCAGCCTTTGGCAGAGCTGCTGACTCAGGAGAAGTAGCAGAAGAGGCGGCTGCCCCTGGCGCAGAGAATGAGTCGGGAGGAAGGGCCAGATCGCCCGGGCACCTGGCAGTCCATGTGGGACAGTGGATTCGCCGCCGTTTGGGATCAGATGGGGCGGGAAGAGCAAGGGGTGAGACTGTGGACTGACTCCAGAAGGCCACACAGCCCTCCTCTTCCCACGGTGCCCACCATGCTCAGCCTCGCAGGAGCCCGGGGCCCAAGAGACCCGTCAGTCCAGCCCGGCCTCCTCAGAAGCAGGCTTCTCCGCGGCGCCCACATGGCCAAGGCTGGATGATCTGGGTGGAAAGGGGCTGCCCAAGCTCCAAGGCCAGGCTCTCCCTGTGAACTCGTCACCTCTCTTAGACTGTTTCCACCTCAGAAAAATAGGTGAGGTGTAATGAAGAGAATCCCCGCGGTGTCATTGTGAGAGGTGAGGTGGACCGAGCTGTGGGAACGGAGGTGCTTCTCAGTGGTGCAGGGCGTCTGATCAACAGCCACCGTCAGCCCCGGGAAGACAGCTGCCGTGCCTGGAGAGGCCTCCGGGTGGGCCTTGAACCTGCCTAGCTCGGGCCTGCTTTTGGACCATCCAAAATAGATCAGGCCTCCTTTTCTCGAGATAGCCCACCCCGGGGTAACACTGCCTGGTGATAGCAAGTGGTACTGACCGAACTCAAGAAAGAGGGAGCTGCTCCCCCTGCAGCAGCCCTCCCAGAGGCAGCCTCCAGGAACTGAACCTGCCCTTCCTGTGAAACAGACTGGGTTAAATCGAAATTCACAAAAGAGGGGGTGTCCAGAATGACTAAAAATTAGTTTGAAGATGAGGACAGAGTCGAGGTCTTCCTGTTGGCAAGGATTGGTTAGATGACCTCAGGAACCACTGTGGCCAAGTCCTGAGGGCCCAGGGCACCCCCCACCCCAGATGGGACCAGCACGTGAACTGCCAGTTTCTGCCAGGGAACTCCCTCCTCTTCCTCACTTCCGTAGCACATCACCTCCTGCAGGCGACACATTCTCTCCTTACTTACTGCCCCAGGCGGGGAAGGTCAGTTGTGTATTGATCTTCAGCATTTGCCTGCAGAGGACAGTGGGGCTGCAGTCCCGGCAGTGGGCAGGAAAGGGCCGAGGGCGGTGCCAGTGGATTTGATCACACACGGGCTTGTCACATCTCCTGCAGGCCGCCATCCGTTTCACGGCGCTCTTCTCTTCGCTGTCGCATTTGAACACTTTGTTTTGAGATAATTACAGATTGGCTTGCGATTGTCGGAAATGATACAGAAAACTCCCGTGTCCCCTTGACCCAGTTCCAAGGGTTCCTTCTTGCAAGACTTTAGCATAACATCACAAGCACCCAACTTACAATTTTTTTTTCATTAAAAAATGACCTTTATGGAGGCCTCCCTGGTGGCGCACGGGGTTAAACACCGCACTGTGAAGCAATCCGCAGCCTCTGTAGCACAAGTTCGATCCCCAGCTGGCCAGGGAGCAACCGACATGGCACAGCAGACCTCTCCTGTCTCACCCACTGCTCCCCTCAGCAGTGTATTTCAGGCAGTCTGCCTGTTTTGCTACCCACTCTGTCTCTGGTGAATCCTCTGGCCTACACCCCAGTTCTTGTATGCAAAAAATAAAATAAATAAAAAACCTTACAATAAAGGAGTAATTATTTTTTTAAAAAAGCACATATTTGGGGCCTCCCTGGTGGCGCAGCGGGTTGAGCGCCGCACTGTGAAGCTGTCCGCAGCCTCTGCAGCACTGGTTCTCTCCCGGCCTGCCGGCAAGGGTCCCACATGGCACAGCAGACCTCTCCTGTCTCGCCCACTGCTCCCCTCAGCAGTGGATTTCAGTCAACCTGCCTGTTCTGCTCCCCACTCTGTCTCTGGTGAATCCTCTCACCCTCCAGCACATCTGGCCTGTACCCCAGTTCTTGTATAAATAAATAAATCTTTAAAAAAAAGCACATATTTGGGGGTATATTGTATAGGTTTCTTCTGCTCCGATGAGCTATTTGTCTGTCGTCTCCACCCTTAGCATAGTCATAATTCCTATATCTAGACCGTAAGCCTTGAAATCAGGTAGACAGATTGCTCCTACCTTCTTTTTCAAAATTGTCTTGTTATTCTAATTCCTTTGCCTTTTCCATATAAATTTTAGAGCCGTCTTGTATGTATCTACAAAAGGCTCTTGGCCCTGACAACCCTATTCCCCATGTGGCGCCGTGGCCTCCCTTTCTCTTCCAGTTCCAGCACTTGGGCTGCAGTGCAGACAGGGCCAGTCTAGGAACCACGCACAGCCCATCCCGGAAATGGTACCAAGAAACCCCAGTCAGGATGATTGGAATTTCTTACAGAGGTGCGTCCCAAATTCCTGAGGAACATGCGCTTTGCCAAGAAGCACAGTAAGAAGGGCCTGAAGAAGATGAATCAATGCCGAGGCCATGGGCGACCTTGGCAGGCCTCAGGAGGTTGAGCCTAAGATCCCAGGGCGGGGCCGCAAGCTCAATCCATGGGCCTGCATCACTCTCCCCAAGCTTGGGAAACGGGCCTGGACTCACATGACCTGTGGTCTCAACCTCTGCCAGCCAAAGGCCCAGGCTCAAACCAAGGCCCAGGCTGGGACAGCATCCAGAGGTACCCAGCCCCCAAGAAGATTCTAGAATAGTGAGGACAAAAGCACTGGTATGGCCCCCGGCTTCTTTTCAAAGAGCCAGCCTTTTGGTTCATCCATTTTTTTTTTTTTTTTAAGATTTATTTATTTTATTTATACAAGCACTGGGTACAGTCGGAAGCGCGGGAGGGTGAGAGAATTCACCAGAGCCAGAGCGGAGAGTAGAACAGGCAGACTGACTAAGTACACTGCTGAGGGGAGCAGCGGGCGGCAGGAGAGGTCTGCACGCCGTGTGGGACCCTTGCCCGGCAGCCAGGGATCGAACCGGCGCTGCAGAGGCTGCAGGCAGCTTCGCAACCCAGCGCTCAACCACCGCGCCACCGGGGAGGCCCTCATCCATTTCTTTCTATTGTTTTCCTTGTCATTGATTTCTGCTCTTTTCCATTTCCTTCCTTTTGCTTGCTTTGGGTTAATTTTGTTGTTTTTCTATGTTCTTGAGAGTTTCTGTTTTTTAATTTGTTTCAAGAATGTTTATAATTGTTTGCTGAAGCAGTTTTATGGTGGCGACTTTAGAATCTAGGTCAGATAATTCGAGCTTCTCTGTTCCCTTCTGTTGATGTCTAGATTGTCTCTCTCTGGTCAGTTTGAGACCTCCCAGTTCTTGATGTAATGAGGGATTTTTTTTTTAACCGTGATGTTTTAGCTATTGTGTTGTAAGACTTTGGATCTTATTTAGTCCCTGTATTTTAGCTGCTGCTTCTAACACAGTGGGAGCAGGGGCTCCTCATTATGGCCAGGTTTGGTTAGAAGTGCAGGTTCCACCCAGCAGCCATGGGGGAGAGGGGACCCTTTTCATTACCCCAGGGCAGAGTAGGCGTTCTGGGCCCCTCCCAGGTCTGCACTGGTGCCTCGCTCACTGGACAGGGGCAGAATGCCTGGTTACTGTGTCCCACGAGACTTCTCTGAAACCACAAGAATGTGGCGGGCAGCAGCCTTAACTCTCCACCAGGCTCCTCTGACACCCTCCCATCAGGGAGGGGGTACGTCTTGCCACTGCTGAGAGAGCATGGAAGTGCAGGCTCTCCCCTCAGGGTTGGGGCCCTCATTACTATCCCACAGGGATAAAACTCCTAGCCCAAATTGGGGTGTTGGGTGCCTCATGGCAGCCTGTTGAGGCTAGAAGTCTCAGTGCCTGAGGCCCTCACTGGTGTGGCTGGGGTAGGTCACAGTGTTGTTTGTGGTGTCAGGTGCTTCATGGTTCTTTGAAGACTGACAATTTCCTGCTCACATGGCGCCTTGACTTCACTGAGAGAAAAATTCTGTAAACTTGGACTGGGAGACTGTTGAGGGCCATCTTGAGCCTCTTCACACCCACAGCCCTGGAGGTGCTCCCCAGAGGCCCAGGATCCTGGAGTGACTGGCTGGCATTTTCCCTTTTATCCCCTGGAGAAGTTACGAGTCCAGGCCAGGCGGGCCCTGAGCTCCTTGGAAATGTAAACCCACTTTGCTGGAGTTGAGCCAGGGCCTTCTCTCCATGGCAGCTGCACACTGGGGGCCTCCTCTCTGGGAACTGGTGGCTGGGCATCCAGAGCACTCACCCTCATGTCTCCTTGGAAACAGGAGGACCATGATACTATGGAAGCTGATCTGGACAAAGACGAACTGATCCAGCCCCAGCTTGGAGAGCTCTCGGGCGAGAAGCTTCTGACCACGGAGTACCTGGGAGTAAGTGCCCATGAAGGGGGCGGGTCTGGAGTAGCAAGGAGCCGTGGGCCTGAGATGAGTCGACTTGCGAGTCCAGTGACACTGGATTAGGCGGGTTTGTTGTGAGGGTGAGCAGGTCTGTGACGTGCGCCGTGGCCCTGCTGCCTGTCACCATGGACCTGCTGGTGAAGAGAAGAGGGATTAGGATGTAACTCAGAGGAGCCTTCCTAGAAGGGGCCAGGCACCTCCCTAACACCCGAAGTGTTAGAAAGTGAGCTGCTCAGTGGCATCTACCCATGCAGCTTCTTAATCCCGTGTCCGCCATCCTCGGAAGGGGAGGCTGCGGTCCACGTGCAAGTCATCCCCACACGTGGTGGCTGAAGCCATCAGGGCGGAGAGTGGAGAGGGGCAGAGCGAGGCCCCGAGGACGCAGGTAAGGAAAGGGAGAGAGGAAGGGCCCCGGAAGGGATAGAAGGTGAACAGAGGCCGTGGAGGGCCATGTGGGTGCAGAGCCACGGAAAACAGGCAGGGGTGTCACAGGGCGGTCAAGGGGTCGTCAGCATCCAGAGGCCTGTGCGGCCACATCTCTGTGATGGGCCATAATCTGAACTCCAGGAGCTCCCGATGCCGCTGACGCTCAGCCAGCCCTGGGAGCCATGGTCACAACCCACTGGCCAACAGGGAAGCCGGGGGGCAGCCAGGACGAGCTGCCCATCAGCCCGGGAAGGACGGCCCGCAGGTCCTGGGAAACCTGGATGAGAGCCTGTGGGGTGAGCAGCTGCTTGAAGGGGGCCGCAGCTGTGAGGGACGAGGGCCTGTCGAGCCAGAAGCCAGCCGCACATACGGGGTGAGGCCACTGGCATTAGAAGCAGCTCCAGGAACTCTGACTCGGTCGGTTCCAAGGACCTTAGAGTCTCTCTGGTGAGGCGGTCGCTGTTGGGGCAGAAGGCTGGGAGCCAGTTCTCAACAGCTGGCTGACTGAGGGAGGGAAAAGATGGTGGGTGCAGGTGGCATGAGCCTTTCCAGGAGCGGATAGAAGCAGAGAGGGCCTGTCCATTCCTACTGCTGCCCTCAGCCCAGGCCCTTCTCATCTCCCCCTGGACACTGGTCTCCCTGGTCGCTGGCCCTGGTCTTCCTTTCATTCAAGGAGTTCCCGGGGCCCCGGCCTAGCGCTCAGTATGTGCAGGTGGAATCTGAGGTGGAGGTCAGCCAAAGGCCCAGTGTGGCAGGGCTGAGGGGTTTCACCGTACCGAGCTGGGAAATGACTGGAGTGTCAAGAGCAGGGGTGACTGTTTGACTTATGCCTCATCTCTCCACTCTGCCTCCCCTCTGGCTGCTTCGTGGAGACTGGACTATGGCTACCAAGTGTGAAAGAGGGGAAGGAGGCTGTGGGCAGGCTCACCACCACACCCCCAGTCACAGACGGGCCACTTGGAACCCATCACTGTGCTTAGAAGGTCTGGACGGTCAGAGGAATCTCACCGTTAGGGAGTCTCTGTTTACCTTAGGTCAAGGGGGGGCTGGGGGGCTGGTGAAAGGTCAGGAGTGAGGCTGTCTGGCCTTGAGTCCTTGGTGGAAGTATTGGGCCCAATTGGGCCTTAGTTCCTTCTGGAAGAACACTGGCTTTGTCCGTTTGATAGGACACGAACTTTTAAAAGCAAGACACTCCCGCTTTATGAGCAGGAAAACAGGCGGCTGAGTGTCTTGGAGGCCTGCCCATCCACACAAGCCCACGGGCCTGTGGGTGTCAGCTAGGACACTCCTGTGCCTGGCCTCCCAGAACTTGGTGGCCCCAGCTCTCTGCCTCCTGCTCCTCCACACTGGGAGTGCTGTGAGATCCCGTGTTGGCAGGCGACGGTTCTTAGCAAGCACAAAGCCAAGTGCAGAGCATGTGGTTGGTGGGTGCATTAGAGACACAAAAGGACAGCCTCTGTCTGACTCGATCAACAGCCAGGTGAGTGGCTCCCAGAAGTGGGGTCATTCCCCGCACAGCGCGCAGGTCTCAGCCTCCTGAGCAGAGGTGTCAGTCCTTTGCTAGGGGTGGGGGGGGGGGTTCTGAGTCCACGGAAAGGCTCGGTGTCCACTCCTCTCCCTTTGGTGGAGATGTGAGTAGTGAGAGTGAAGTCCAGAAAGGATTCACTCTCTCGTTGTGAAGGCCCCGGCTACTTGCTTTTTCGGGCTACAGTAACAATTTACTGTAAACTTCAAGCAACAGAACTGATCCCTCACTGCTCTGGGAGCCAGAAGTCCAGCGTCAGAGGTCAGCGCAGCCTGTGCCCTCCTGAGGTGCAGGGAGAGCCTGTCCTGCCCTCCCAGCTCTGGTGGCTCCAGAACTCCAGACTCTGCCTCCACCTGGCCTTCTCCCCTTCTCTGTGTGTTCTCCTTTGTCTCGTATAAGGACACCGCCCTTGTCTCTAGGAATCTAGAATCGTCTCTTCATCTCAGGATCCTTGACCTCTCTACATCTGCAGAGACTCTTTCCAAATATTCACTGGTTCTAGGGGGCCTATCTGTCTGTTTGGGGGTGCCACCATTCAACCCACTACCCCAGGTAGAATCTCATGGCAGAAACATTTTTAAGTTTTCTTAGTAAATTTACTGTGGAGCAGTAATCTCTGAGGTTAGCGGGTGCTCCTCGTTTTGCTGCCTTTGATCATTAGGCATCCTCTGCTGCCCTCAGTCACCCTGTTTGATTTGAAATTGACAGCATGCCACTGTGTGTGCTGGGTCCGGGATTTCAGAAGAGGGTCTTCCCTGCAGCGCCTGTGGCTCCTGTGGTGCCACAAAAGGATCTTAGCTCTTGTCTTCATAACTGTACCAAAGGAAGGAAGGAACCGGCCACAAGAAGCCGTCTTGCTGGGGCCACATGACCGGAGCCGTGATTCACACCTCCCCTTTGGACGTGCTAGATCCGTCAAAAGAGGTTGACTTTTTGAAACATCATGTCAGAAAATTGCATTCAAAAAGTTTTTATTGAACCTGTGCCTTTTGCCTAACACACAGCAGCATGCTGAAAAGACCCAGCCATTATCTTCAAGAAGTTTACAAAAGTCACAGACAGAGCAGAAAAACTCTTCTGTTGAAGAAGGATGCAGATAACAAAGAGCAGGGCCAGGGCTGGCGGGCTTGACCCCGTGACTGTGAGCGCAGAGCTGGCCCACCCTTTCACAGTGTGGGCTGAAGACAGTGTCTAGGACCCACCCGAGCCCCTTGCTATAATGACTTAGAAACTTGGGGGTGAGGGTGGAGGTGCCCTGGGGTGCCCGCCAGGTGTTCAGGATGCAGGATGGAGGCCCTTCCCAGGAGCCCTGCCCGTTGCTGGGCGTTGGCAGCCACTTCCTTTCTGCAAAGCCACCTGCCGGCCCTGCCCTCCCGAGAGCTAGCCCAAGGCCCCGGGGGCAGTGAGCGGGGCATCGCTGCCGACAGGAAACACGGCCAGCCGGCTGCGGTGCAGGCCGCCCCTCCCAGCTTGCATGGCAGTGGTCACGTCACATGCACTGCTGGTCACTCGGGAAGCCGCCCACGTGTTTCCTCTGGGCTGTGAGTGTCAGCAGCGCGAGAATGAGGACTTCTACTTTCTCCTTCCTCAGGGGCCGGTGGATTTTTTAGCTCAGCCATTCTATGCTGAATAACGTGTCCCTCCTTCCTAAAAGAATGCCTGGGGCGTAAATACCCCATCACCTGGTTAGAGGGGTGCAGACCTTCATGACAGGACCCTAGAATCCCAGTTGTGTTGTGGCTGTTTGATTTGGAAGCTTGAACTCATTGTTCACCTGCCACTTGCGACAGTCACGGCATGTGCTACAAGCAGCCCTGGGCTGCCCGGCTCGCCCGGCTGACTCGTCCCATGTCATCCCCCAGCCGCCTTCTGGGGCGAGCTCCGCTCCCACCGCGGCGCAGATGAGCTGAGGCGGCGGCGGTTAAGCAGTGTTCTGGGGTGTTCTGGATCTTCTTGATCTTAACCGCTGGGCTGGCCGCCGCCCTCCTGGAAGGCTTTGGTTTCTCTGGGAAGCCTGGTCTACTGTGTTTTAAAGTTCTGAGAACCAGCTGCAGCATTGTCGCGGTTGCTGTGTGGTTGCTTCTGAAACAGCGGGTGGGGCTGGGGTGGCCATGCAGAGGCTGACTGTTGTGTCTGTCCTTCCCCCTCCGCAGTGCACACCCACATTCACTCAGCTCCCCAGACAAGGTCCCGGCACCTCAGACAGCCTGTGTGTGCGGAGGTGGCCCGGGGAATCTGCGTCTTTGTTACTCAGCTTGGGGCTTCTGAGGCCGGAGTTTGACCCATGGAGATGCTGCCACTTGGGCAGAACTCGGGTTTATGTGCTTCTGCAGGGAGAGTAGGGGTGGGGGGCGGAGGGGCCGGGGGCAACAGGGCACAGCGGGGGGCCTCCCCGCCCCCTGGAGACAGGAGGCCTAGGACCCTGCCACCCACCATCCCTCGGAGCCTGTTCTACTCACAAGAGAAGCCAAAACCAGAGAAGGAAAGGCCTCAGTTTCCAGTTTTTGCTTTTAGATTTTTTTTCTTCCAAATGTGTTTCCACTTGGGGCCTTTTTCTGATCACTTTTCAATCAGTGATTCCTGCTCTGCCTACTAGCTTAAGGGAGGGTGCCCTCCTCATGGCAAGGGATTCTCTCACCGTGCATGGAGACAAGCAGGGGGGAAATCCCAAACACCCAAATAGTCTACATTGTTTTCTTTTGCAGTTTGTGTCTTGTATTCTTTCTGTTAGTTATAAGAGAAATATCTGCAGATGACCGAAAAGTCAAGCGTAAACAGTGTAAACAGTACCCGGCGACAGCCAGCTACCTTCACCCTCGTTTCATCTGTTGTCTTCCTTTATCAGTTAGGAGCCCTCCCCTCCCCCCCCACCCCTTGGCAGAGAGAGAATCCAGCTTTGTCAGCCCTGCCCGGAACACTGGGGCAGTCAGACTGTTATAGGACAGGGAGAGGGGCAGCCCAAACCCCGCAAACCTGCCTATTGTCTATTCTAAATGGGTTCTGCCATCCGCCGCATCAACAC